GGCCGGCGGGGACCCACCGCCCGCGCCTCGGGCTTGTCTGCCCATCTGCCTGCCTGGCTTCCTCGTGATGTCTCTTTATCCCTCCCAAAGCCTGTCTGTCTCTCAGTGCCTGTTTCTCTGGGGCCTGTCCGTCCTCTCAAAGTCTGTTCGCCTGTTTGTCCTATGATGTCTCTGTCACTTTAAAGCCCGCTCATCCGTTTGTTTCTTGGCATCTGTCTCCAGCATCCGTCTGCCTCTCATGCTCTTTCTGTCCCTTTCAAAGCCTGTCCATACATCTGTCTGTCCCCTGACCTCTCTGACCCTCACCTACCCCCTTACCTGGAAGTGGGACCCCCTGCCCTTCCAAAGGTAGCCCCCCCATCTGGACATGGGCTGCAAATGGCATGAGGACCCCAAGGGAGGGTTCCCAGGTCTCCTCCCTTTCCCCCACTTACCTGTGCAGTCCCCTAAGCCTGAGGTGCTAGCCCCGGACACGTCCTGCTCAAAGGTGGCCCTAATGGGGGCAAGACAGACACAGTCAGCAGAAGCCCCTCTCACAGAGCCCGAGGGGGGGAGGGGGAGCCCTGGTCATCAGGTGGGTCCGACACCCTGCCCTCATCTGCCCCCTCCCTCGTACCTGGTGCCAGGGCTGAGGAAGATACAGGAACCATCAGGAGCCCACCCGCAGTAGGGGTCCTGACTGCCAATGCAGTTCCTAGAGCAGACAAGGGACCCAGCAGGTCCATCAACCACAGTCTCTTGCACGATGCCTCTACTATCAGCTCGGGAGTCCTGGCCACAAATCTCTGCAGGGGAGGCTATTCATTCTCCATTTTACAGATAAGAAAACTGAGGCTCAGGAAAGTTCACTTAAACCGGAGCAGCAGAGCCAGGATTGGAGCCCACCAGGCTTGCCCCAGAGCGTGTGCCTTGGCTCTGTGCAATGGCGTCACTATTGCCATGATGATGGGGGTGGGCGGGGCTTCTCAGTGTGCAGGGCTCACACAGAGCTCGGGGGGCCAGGACTTTGCATCTGATTTTCCACCCATTCTAGAGGTAGGGAAACAGCCACCTCCCTGGTCCCCAGCTTCTGCTACTGCTGCTCTTAAAAATGTCACTCAGAAAAAAAAAAAAAAAATGTGACTCAGGTCCCATTCCTCCTCTGCCCACACCTCCCTTGGGGTAAAAGCCTAAGTGCTCCCCATGGCCCACAAGGCCCTGCATGACCTGCCCCCATCCTCTTCTTGCCCTCACCTCCTTCAGTGACTCCTCTCCAGCCACATGAGCCTCCTCACTGTTTAGAGCCTCCTCTAAAGCCCCAGACATGGTCTGGTTCCAGGGTCTTTGCATGTGCTGTGCCCTCTGCCCCACTCATCTTTCAACAAGTCAGGGTGCTGTTGGGCCCTAAACTGAAAATCGGCTCTTCCCCTCTTCCCATGGTCATCTCCCCTTAATGCCCCCACACTCCCCCAGCAGCGGGCCCGGGGGCACTCACTTCATGCACCCTGAGTACTGCTGGCAGCGGGCCACGGGCACGCGGACCACACAACGGGGGAAGGCCGCCAGCAGGCCTCCTGAGGCCACATCCAACTCCAGGCTCAGCAGCCGCTGCACTGTCTCACTGCCACCTGACTGTCCACACCTGGGGTGAGCAGATTAGTAAGACTCAGGGGTTGTGTCCCATCTCCCTGCTCACTGGCCCTACCCCCCGGCCTCTGCCAGACCCCACCTGTCTGGCCGGTAGGTCTCAAACTCCTCAAGGAAGACACTGGGCCCAGAGGTGCCCAAGGTGCTGGCGTTGGGCCAGACGAGGAACTTGAGGATGGTGCCCGCCTCGGAGCCCAGGAAGACGACAGTCTGGTTGCCCCAGGGGCCAGCGCCCACATCCACAGCCACTCGAGTCAGCTGGTGCCTGTGGCCAGGGCAAGAGGAGTCAGTCTGGCACCACAGCCCCTTCAGTCCCACCCTCACTGGGCAGGCACAGACACACCACCCACACCAAGCAAGGTGGGCCCAGGAGTGGTTACGTGAGCATACATCACCCTCCTCCAAAACACCCCCCAAACTCGGCTCCCACTTGGGCCTGTCTCTCTCTCCCTGAATTTCTTTCTGTGTCTCTCTGTCTCCCTATCTGTGAGTCTCTCTCCCTCTCACTATCTCTCTGTCTCTCTCTCTCTGTGTCTGTCTCCCTCTATCTTTGGGTCTGTCTTCCTCTCTCCGTCTCTATCTCCCTATCTCTGTCCCTGCCCCTCTGTGTCTCTCTCTGTGTGTCTCTGGTCAGTCCTCAGAGCCACATACCGTCTCCAGAACACTGCTCTCATTCTCTCCGCCCTCCCCTGTGTCCACAGTCAGCCCCGTCCTCCTTCCCCACCCACCACCCTATCCTGGGCTTTCGTTTTCACCCTCTGCCCCACTAGACCCCAGCACATGTGGGGACTGACCGTGTCAGAGTCCGTACTATCCAGGGCGCATGGCCCAGCGAGGGCACTGCCTCGTCCATCAGGGGGTGGGTCTTGACAAAGCTGAGGATCTCATCAGGGAAGGCGCTAGAGGCGTTGTACTGCATGCCGGGAGCTGCACAGCACCCAGGCCTGGGTGCAGATGAGGGGGTCAGGGCAGTCTGGGGGCCCCTATATAGGAGCTGATTCCCCGTGGGACCCACTGCCCTGCCCCAAGGGCCTCAGTTTCCCTCATCTGTGTAATAGGTGTGGTTGAATTTGGTAACAGCTAAATAACTGCCTGGGAGTCCCCAGACTTCGGTTGTGGGGACAGGACCCACCCAGGCACCTGTCTCAGGATGGAGGGGGCTCTCACCGGGGCCGAGGCACCTGATCCTCCGGCACAGGCGTCCAGATGGACTCAGGGGACTTCTGCTCGCGGAAGCGGCCCTCAAACACGGCAGCCACCTGTGTCATGTCAAAGGCGCAGACAGCAGAGCCGGGGATGCTGGGGAGGTCAGGTGAAAGGGAGCTGTGAGCCTGGTAGGAGGCACTGCCTCAGGCAACTGTGTGGAGGAGTCCTTGTCCTCCGGAGCTGTCAGATGTTCAGTCCCCTGGGCCAGTGGTGTCACCCACCTGCCCCATCCAGTCACTCTGCTTCCTGAACAGTGCTCAGATGGGATCATATTTCAGCTCCTCCGCAACCACTTGTTCCTGGCCTCCATTGTCTCTTGTCTGAATGTTCAGTCTCCCAGACACCACTCTTGCCCCCTTACAACCCTTCCTCCTTCTGTTCCTCACTCTCCTACGGCTCATGAGTGCTTCCAGGATAAAATCCAGGCTCCTCCCTGCAGTCTGTCACCTCCTTGCCCTCAGACTGTCCACTTTCCCCTTTGCTCCCTCCATTCTAGCCACATGGGCTCCTCCCTATTGTTTAAACATTCCAAGTTCATTGCAGCCTCACAGCTTTGCACATACTGTTCCTCCAACTGGGAATGCTCTTCCCTTTTCCTCCATCTCACACCCACTGAAGCCTAGTTTCAATGTCCCTTCCTCCAGGTAGTCCTTTCTGAGCCTCTCCTTCAAAAGCAGTGGGTGTTGATGTCTCCCATCTGCCTAGTTCTGACCAAAGGGCCTTGGAGGGTCAGTGTGGCTTTGTTCTACTGTGGCCTAGGGTCAAGGCCTCTTGGGGGTCCAATCTCGCCCAGCGTAGGAACCGGGGAATAGGCAATGAGTGAATGTGGGACCTCTCCATTCATGCCCACCTGGTGCCCCCAGCTCACTCCCATCAACATCTACTGACCTGTTGCTGGGGGTGGAGAAAATGGCAAGGACTATGGGCCGGCCCCCCAGGCTGACCACACCAGTCACAGCCTGCAGCACATTAAAGTAGAAGTGGGAGTCCCCAGGCACGGAGCAGTTGAGCCGCGCCTTTAGGAAGGACGTCCACTGCTTCTCCAGGACGCGAGGGGAGCCTCCCACATCATTCTTGCACACCCGGGCCACGCGGGACACCACCACCTGGTGTAACAGTGGACAGATGGCACCTGAGCCCACCAAAGGCCACACTGCCCACCACCCAGGCTGGGATGGAGGAGCCTCACCCTGGCTCACTGTGGTGTCCCAGCCAGTCACTCTACCTGTCTGGGCACCAGATTCCCCAGTGGAAATGTGGGAATGACAGTGAGGATCACAGCAATGTGGCAATCGTGACCATCAACATTTATACTTACAGATCGTTTACTATGAATCTGGTGCTTTATTCTCATCATCTCTTACTCTCCTCCCAAAACTCTACCAAGGAGGGCCTACTGATATTCCCATTATATAGATGGAGAAACTGAGGCACAGAGAAAGGGAAGTGACCGGCACAAGGTCACACCAGTGGTAAATGGCAGTCTGTGCACTTAACTGTGTGGCTGCTGCAATGGATGGGTAGGGAGAGGGCTGGAGGAATGGTGGATGGCTGAGTGGATGGATGGGTGGGTGGACTGATCTGAAGGAGATGATGGATAATGAATGAGACGA